GTATTGTCTGAGGCTAGATTTGAACTCAGTTTTTCCTAACACCAAGCCTAGTGCTTTATCCACCATGCCACCTGGCTGCCTCAAGGGTCTCTTAGGTGCTGTGTATTCTTTTAAATACTTATTTACACTCTCATTACTATGGACACCCTCTTCTCTGGTATAAACTTCAAAACCTTTATGCTTTCTCATCTTATGCAATACTTGTACCTGCCCTTCTGTAGATCCTCCATAAAAGTTCCACCCCACATACCAGAGGCTTTCCTCAAGCCATTTCATTATATCAAAGCCACCAGTATGACTTTCAGGCAATCTACGTCCAGGATGCCTATTGTAGTTTGGATGTAACCTGGGTACTTGAGGGCTATGCCAGCACACCATGAGCCCTGTCAGATGAGATGCTTTTTTTGGTATGGTACCAACTGTACTTGTTGTCTGGGGACCAACCTCGATAAATGAGAAAAGGCCCATCACCCCAACCCTTACCATAATGGCTGGCACATTAAAGAATTGTATTTATTGGTTCACTGGATGTTTGTCAGACAGTCAATGAAATCAGTTCCCAAAATCATAGAATACAAATATCTGAAGACACCTTAGAATCCAGCTATTCCAACCCAGATATGATCATTGGCGCTTCATACGCCAGCACTTCTTAAACTGTGGCTCACAAGTGGAAAAAGTTTAAGATGTCCTGCTTCCTACAACCATACAACCTCCCTCTAAAATGGTTCTTCCAGCTTCTTGCCTGAGACCTCCAAATGGAGGAGACTCATTAGAGACTCTCTACTTCATTTTTGGACAACTTTAATTGTTAGAAAGTTTTTCAATAAATTAGTTTTAAATCTCCCTGTCAGCTGGGATATTGCCCCTACTTCTGCCTCCTAGAGCCAAGCCACATACTGAATGAAGAAGTAACAAGGCATTAATTAAGCACTTACTATGTGCCAATCCCCAGAGATGCAAATGCAAAAACAAGACAGTTTTCACCCTTTAAGAGCTGATAACACGTATAGAAGAGTATTGACCAGGGAGGTATAAATTGATTTGGAAAGTCACAGAGATAGTGGGTGAGTGGAGAAAACTGGCATACTTTGCCTAGGAGCAATGACAATAGATTTGAATAGAAAGTAGGTAGAGGAGTGTAGGCAGCTGGGAAGAGTCAAAAGATATGTATGGTGGCTGTGAGAAATCTGTGTGAAGTGAAGTGAAGCAAAGCTGGAGCTTGGGCCTTGAGCAACTGAGACAGCCCCTACTTGGGGTAGTAGGGACTCCAGGCTCTGAGGCATGCAAAAGTTAAGTACTCTATGGCTTAGTTAGCATGGCAGTAGGTGAAGACTAGTCCTAGGAGTGAAGTCTGTTCCCTTTTTTACCCAGTAGTCCTTCAGCCATTTGAACACAATTATCATGTCTCTTAAGTTTCTGTTCCTGCCTAACTAGTGAGTTAGTGGCATGTTCTTCCATCCTTTGGCCATTGTAGTCACCCTCTCTTGGGTAAACTGTAGCTCACCTGTATCATTTCCAAAATGTAGTATCCAGAACCATACCAATATTATAGATGTGGTCTGACCAAGATATGATATAGTGATGTATTAATCTCCTTCATTCTGTATACTAAGTTCTTTTGCTTGTAACTTAGGATAACGTTCGCTCTTTGGGCTACTAAATCATACTACTGAGCTTTCCCATTGGACCCCTCTCTCCTTCCCAGATATTTTTCATTAGGGATGGCTGTCTAGCCACATATCTAACATCTTATATTTTTGAAATTGGATTTGTTTATCTAAATGTAGAACTTTGACTTTTATCCCTCTTTCATTTTGTTTTATTCAATTTAACTCATCATTCTAGCCTGTCAGGTTCTTCCTGAATCTTGGTTCACATATCCAGTATGTTGGCTACCCCTCCTAACTTTGTGTCATATGCAGATTTGATAAGCATGTCATCTGTGCTTTCATCCAATTACTAATTGGTAAAAAATGGTAAAGAACATAGGATCAAAGATAGGTCCTTCAGATGTTCTAGGAGAGACCACCCTATAATTTGACATCAACCAATTAATGACTACTTTTTCGATTTGGAAATTCAACTCATTCAAATTCACCTAACCAGTTGAATTTCCAGACCTAAAAGGCACTCTTAACCAGCCCACACACCTCCATTTTGCCCACAGGGATAACATGGCAAGCTTTGTCAAATGCTTGGCTGAATTCTAAGTGTACCATGTCGATAGCATTCCCCTTATCTTCCTAGTCTAGCCACATAGCACAGAAGGAAAGGAGGGGAGTCCAGTACAACCTGTCTGTCCCTCAGTCATAACTAGGAATTTTTGCAGCTAGTGCAAATACCACAAGCTATGCCCAGCATGAAACAAATGGCACAAAGCCTCTCCTCAGTTACAGGGGAAGGTATATATAGGTAGTGAAAGAATGCACCCTACTAGATGTTAAGCTCTGTTATTTCTACCCTGCTGAAGGACTGTCAGTGGTCTCAGAAATTAAAACCCTAGTAGCTCTGCCCTCCTTAAGAACTTGCCTGTTTTGGACAAAGTCATGCAGGTTTTTATTCATCAGTGCTTCCTTATCTAAATGTTCACAAGCTATCCCTTTAATAATATCTTCTTTTTTCTTTTTCAATTATTTATTTATTTATTAGGTCTATTTTATTTTTAATTTATGGAATAAAATAAGCATTTCCATAACACAGAGAATAAAAAAGTTGTGTACAACTTGCTATTCTTTTTAAATATATAGTAAAGTTATCATGTAAGTTTCTTTTTTTTCCTTTTTTTTCTTCCTTCCCCATTGCTCCACCCTAGAGATGGGTCTCATTAAACACAAATAGGTATATAAGTAAAATTGATCCATACATACTTATATTTAGAAGTCAAAGTCACTGGCTTACAATTTTGGAGACTCCTGCCTCTTCCTTTTTTTTTTTGAAAAGTTAGACATTTGCCCTTCTCCAGGCTTGTGGTAACCTTTCTATTTCTCCATGTATTTCAGAGATCACTGACAGTGGCTCAGCAGTCATATCTGCCAGTTTTTTCTCAGAATATAAAATGTAATTTAATATACTGTTACCAGGAAACTAAGATAGAGGGTAATAAACAGAGAAAACAGAAAAGACATGATAGAAACCTGCTTTCTGGCTGTGGAGCTATTATTTTCTCTGTTATCTGAGGATGAACAGTTGGCATATGGTGATCATTGCTATGGCAAGAGATGTGTTTTTAAGCATTGAACCTTAAATCCCAAAAAACACTGTATTTATTTGCAAGGCAATTTCAGAGATTGAGTATTTTTAGAAGCAGGTTGTGATTTTTTTTGTTGATTATTATGTGAGGGAAAGAAGGTGAATATGTTTCAGTGAATTGAATGTCATTTTTGTTTTCGTGGAAATTGCCATTTCTACAGGGCATCCCCAAAGTCTTAGTGTAGTTTTAAATTTTAATATATTAAAACTGCAGCAAGACTTTGGGGACATACTGTATAGCATAACCTGAAAGTGAGTAATAGAGCAGCTGGAAGAAACAGGGGTGGATGAGATGGAGGTGATGAGGAGCAGGGGTAGGGAAGCCTGAGACTTCTCTTTGTGGAATGGCAAAGGGTCAGGGTTAGCAGTGTTCAGAGTTTAGAAAGGTAAGCCGGCAAGGTAGCATAGCCTTAAGCACAAGTCTAAAATGTTTGGACTTTTATTCGTTATGATAATAGGGAGCCTTGGTGCAATGGAAGAAGCTCTGGCTTTGGAGTTGGAGGACCTAAGTTCAACTTTTGGCCCTGCTACTTGCTATCTTAATTTGTATGGACCAGTTTCCTCATTGGCAAAATGAGGAGGGAGGGGTTGTTGGACTAGATGGCCTTTCAGAGTCCCTTCCACCTCTAAGTCTGTTTTTTTGAAGTGATTTGATCAGAGCTATGCTGTGCCTTGGGAAGACTAATTTGGCAGCACTATTTAAAGTGAATATTAGAAGGGGAAGATTAGAGGCAGGTGGGCTAGTTAGGATTGCATAGTCCAGGGGTGAAATATTGAGAGATTTGAACCTAAGAGGTGACGATTGGAGAGGGGAGGGGGGGAGGTGAGAAATAAATGTGAGAGATTGTGAAAGAGTTCACAGACATCAGTAAGGGGTAATAAGGAGTGAGGGAGAAAGCAGAACCCAAGATGCTTCTGATGTTATAAGAGAGAGTGAGAAATGGTGATGGCAGTTAGTAGAAATAGGGAAGGATCAGAGGTGTCAAACTCACAGTAGCTTGCTGAAACTAGCCAGCAAAGCTTCCAAGTGCCACCAGGAACTAGATTAAAATGTAACTGGGAAATGTTGAACAAAATATATGAAAATGTAGTACAACACAAATAATATTAATTTGTGGTTTTCCAAGTCATCGTATGGCGGTAGGGATCCCTTACTATTTGAGTCAGGTGCCACTGTTGTTGAAGGAATACATCATATAAAGATACATCAAATGGAATGCATCAGAATTAAAATGGTCGTGGCATTTATAGTTTTGCAAGTCGTCCTATCTCCTAACAGTAATCTTAAAGTCTCCCCTTTCATGTACAGAATCCATTTAAATTACATAAAATACAATTTTTTTCCTTTTTATGTCTTTTTGCTTGTTCCTTTTTCTTCACAAATTGAAAACACACTTTCCTTTATATACAAGTGACCATTACTGTGCCTGGAAAATCAGTGTTCTTTCTGTTTCAAGTGCTTCTCCTCACCTGTCTTTAAGATTACTCAATCAGAAAACACCCAAATTATCCAATTGGCTTCATTTCCAGAAAAACAAGGCTTTTAAAACTCTGGCACATTCAATAAGCTTTGGTTGGTGACATTTGCTTGCTTGTCTAAAATATCACTAAACACAGTTGTTTTTATGACTAATAAGATATTACAGTCTTGACAAAGGGATTAACCAACTCAATTGTGCCTTTGTTGTAAAATCTTGAGATTTGTATAGGTCTCTGGAAATCATGCTTTCATCATTCTTCTCTCATAGTGGACCAGATTTATCATCTAGCATCTCCTGCTTCTCCTCCAAACTACATGTATAATCCTATCAAGACATTAAAGACCAACACAATCGGAACACTAAATATGTTGGGTAAGTTGAAATTCGTTCCTTGTTTCTTTTATCAGGAATATTTATTTACGGGGCATCGAGGTGGTGCAGTGGATAGAGCACTGGCCCCGGAGTCAGGAGAACCTGAGTTCAAATCCAGCCTCAGACACCTAATACTTCCTAGCTATTGACTCTGGGCAAGTCCCTTAACCCCAATTGCCTCACTTAAAAAAAAAAAAAGAATATTTATTTACTTAACAAGCTATGAATCCACATCATGTGCTCTTGCTCTGGCCATTTATCTCAGGCTTGGAATGGCTTCCCTTGTGTTGTGGCTTATGAAGGGAGCATTCCAATACCTTGGTAGTTACCCGTCTTGACTGCCGGCTTATCAGCTAGGACTTCTTTAGTTCTAATGCAGTCCCTGGGGCCCTTATGTTATTGCAGTGTGTTTCTCACTGAGTAACCATCTTTACGGTAGAGCAGTTGGCCAGCATTCTAAAAGCAGGTGTCTATATTTAGGAGTTGCCCCTCGTCAGGTGTCCTGTAGTCTCAGCCATCACCTTTCCCTCTACAATTCCACAGGTGATTAGAGAAATTATCCAGTGCCAGAAATGAGTCCCATGCCTTCCATCTTAAAAATTTACAAAGAAGCACTCATGACTTTGAGCCTCCGATCTAGATTGACACAGTGCCATGGGTGTGTGGGTGTTAAGTGGAGATTATTTAAAGCAGGGGAGAAGAAACTGTCTGATTGTTAGGTAGGTTGAAACTGATCTGTATTACCTGACTCTGGACTAAGCCACAAGATTTGTAGTAGAGGTAAAGTACCCTTAACAGTGGTTTGTTATGGGAGAAAACAATGATGTTTGTTATGGGAGAAAGATGAAGTTAGCATTTTTGTAAGGTCACATATATTTCTCAGTGTGCGTGGTTATGTTATTAATGTATCAATGAATATTATTTAAGTTATTAGAGAATTAATATTCAGGTTGTTAGATAATTAATTTATTACAGTAGGATTGTTGTTGTTGATGCTTTTTTTTCTTTAAACACATAAAAGGTTTCAAAAAGTAGTAGCTACAATACAAAATTCCTTAATTCTGGTTTTCTTTTATTAAAATGTTTTGAGGGAAAGGTAAATTACAAGTTATGAAAGTATTGACAAAGCAGGTATAAATGCATAGTACATTTCCGGTCCTCTAGTTCAGATGAGACTAAGTGACTTGCCCACGGTTACATGGATAGCAAATGGCAGAATTAGATGTGGGCCTAGGCCCTCTGCCTCAAAAAAATAACAATTTTTTCATTGTACTTAAGTAAGGAGGTTTGATTTCAAAGGAAGGGGGTGGAGGATGCTAAGAGCAGTCCGGGGAAAATGGACCCTGATTTCTCTAGATAAATGATTAAATTTTTTATATTAGGTTTAGTTAATGTGAGTTTCTGGTGATTTCTGTAAACTAGTTTCTCCTTCAAATCAGCGTCCTATGTAGCCAGAAGAAAATAGAACCTTGCCAGCTAAAAAAAAAAAAAGCTAACTTTCTTAAAATGACTAACTCAGGAAATGGAGTTTACTTGGAAAATAGAGAAGAGTTTTTGTTCTGCTTTGTTTTTTAACTTCATCTTTCTATTTGAAAAAAGGAATTTGAGCAGGAGTTATCAGCCCCTTCCACAGGAGCCAGGTAGATCAGACAATATGACATGATTTCCTCCGTCTTCTCCCCTGTCTACTCAGTAGTGGAATAGTAGAGCTGCCCCAGCCTCTTCTGTGTATTATCATCCTGAGCCTAGCACGCAACAAAGACTGTTACCTCTGAATTAGGAGCTGTTCATCAAGAACATGAGCCTTAATATCCCAGCTCCGATATTGGGTTACATGTCATTTCCAAGAGCAGGACATTGAGTTCTGGATGGATGTAATTGTCAATAAATAAACAGGAGTGTTTGCTTCCGAGGCAAGACTAGTAAATAGGGCCTGCCCCCTCCCAACATGGCCTTTCACCTTCTACTGAACCACCACTACCCCATCTTTTGATTTGGCTTTTATGGTCTCTTTGCAGCCTGACACTGAAATATATGCACTTTGTGATAGAATCAGCATTTCCTTGATTTCAGTATAAAAAATGCTTATCTTATAGTTTCTAGAGTCAGTGTCCTGCCCTGTCATGTCAAAATCCATAGTGATCCTTTTACATGTTCACATTTGTAGGGCTGGCAAAACGTGTTGGAGCACGTCTTCTTCTGGCCTCCACCTCGGAAGTATACGGAGGTAAGACAGCAGCAACTTGCTACTTGGGGTTAATGGGGGCCATCCCCCCGCCAGAACTTTATAAAAACTTTGGTAGGAGAATGCTAAGGTAGAACTCTAGATGGAGCCTGCATTTTCTATTACTGTTTTGTTACTGTTACCATTGGTCACAGATAAGTAAGCATTTATTTGGTAAATAGATAAGAGGCGTTGAAGGTTTGGCAGTCACCCCAGAAATCGTCTTGTGGCCAGAAAGGGCCTGATTTAAAAATGTGTCTCTTAGACTATCCCCAGTGTAGATTTCACCATCCCCAAGGGCCTAGATGAGCAAGGAGCTTGCTGTGGGATGGAAAGCAGGAAAATGTTTATGCCTGCAGCTTCTCAGAATCCTTTATCTCTAAGTCTCTCTCCTCCTGCTGTACTCTTTTCTTGTCACACCTATACCCTATCTCTCCCTACTTGTACCCTTTTACTGCTTCTTTGACTGAATTCTGGAATTCAGTAAAAAAGATAAAGAAAAGAGGAGACCCAAAGAGAAACAGGATGGACAGGTTGTATGTCTTTATTTGTTGAGTGAGAACCTAAAAAATAGTGGGGATTAGCCCTTCAAAATCACCTTCGTGAGCGGGATGGGAGAACCTGGATCCATCTTCAGGCAATAGCAACGAATCTGGCTCCGCTTTGTCTCTCTTAGTGGCCTTTTAACCAATGGGCATTGGCATGGGCCAGACAATAGTCAGCATCATTTTATCCAGAAGCCTAATGCTTCCACCTTCCCAGCCTTAATAGGGACTCTGTCCTTCCAATCTTCTGCCCTACACTGGAATACAAACACAGAGGAATACAAAGTATTCCTTTCTCCCTTATTTTGGACTTCACTAGCACCTACCACATTCCTGGGTCCAGTATACCTCTTTTCTCAGCATCTTTTCCTAAAATGTTCTTCTTCCATAAATAAACAATTGACTGTTTGATTGATTTTGGCAGAGGAGGAAGGATCAAAACTCAGCTCCAAGGAGAAACACATCAACTGCTTTTAAAAAATTTTTCCTATTGTTCGTTTGTTTCAGTCATGTCTGACTCTTCCTGACCCTATTTGGATTTTCTTGGCAGAGATGCTCGAGTGGTTTACCTTCTCCAGTTCATTTTGCAGATGAGGAAACTGAGGCAAACAAGGTTAAGTGACTTGCCCAGGGTCACACAGCTAGTAAGTGTCTGAGGTCAGACTTGAACTCAGGAAGATGAGTCTTCCTGACTCTAGGCCCAGCACTCTATCTGCTGTGCCACCTAGCTGCCCCTTATGTGCTCTAAGATGTCCGAAAGAGCCTTCTGTAGATTGCATATCCCAAAGATCTCTCTCATAAAACTGTTTTACCCTCTAGCAGCATTCTCATCAGCATTTCCCCAGGCCTACCATTGTCACAACAGTAATGTATGTAATAGAAAGACTATCAGTGTAAAATTATCCTCCATTCAGTCCTACACTGATGTCTCCTCATTATGTGTGTGGAGGTGACCCTGGGTTCCCAAAGGGTACATCAGAGGAAAGCATTTAGCTGCTTCTCCTAAGCTGGAAGGGTTTCAAGTATGAACCTAGCAACAGACTGTATGTCTGTCATCCAGGGACCAGATTAGCTATTTAGAGCGGCTCATCACTATGTTAGTTTCAAAGGTGATGAATTACTTTGGCCATAACAACTCACAGAGTTTATTTCCTAGAGTATAGAGGAGTGTAACCTGCATCAGTGGATGGAAGACCCACACCACTGAAATCATGGAATTGCAAAATATTCATGTTAAGCACTGCATGTGTGCAGGGTATTGAGTATCAGAAGCAATCCGGTTTAGGCTTAGCGTGAGGCTGAAAGTCTCTGCGGTACGCGTGTCATGGTGCTGCTCTGGACGACATGTTGAGAAACTATACAGATGCTACATGGGGAGAGGATAGTGAAATCTGGGGCACATCTGGAATGAAATCTGGGATGTGTAAGACCTTTGCTACCTAAACAGTACTCCACCTAACCCACCCCCCAAAAGTCAAGTCTGTGTATATTTTTGTTGTTTTACAACCCAGGGAAAGAACATTCTTAGCTTTTTCTCAGAAGCTTAAGGAAATTATACCCCTATTCTTTCTTGATTTGCTTCTTGGGAATCTGGTACAGATGAGACACTGAAATGTTCTGTCTTCACTCATATACCTTTTCTCACTTTCCCCTTATTTTATCTTTCCTTCTTCCTTTCCCATCTCTGAAGAAACATTGAAACATCGTCTGTCCTGTTTGGACAAATGCGGAAATGACTGGCTGCTCTCCCTTTCAATTGTCAGGTGTTTTCTTCCTCAACCTCAAAGGCTACAAGATATCTTAAAACCCTGCGTTCAAGGACTGTGCTCTTCATTCCAAGCTAGTATGTCACATGGGCTGAGCACTGTCTTAAAAGATTAAAATATGAAGGGACCTCCCTTGTCCTATCCAAGATAGCATCATCACAAAGCCCATGTTCCCCACCTTCCCTTTTCACTTGAATAGGCTATTTGATGGGAGTTTGTTTCCCATGAGATTATGGAAGCAATACATTTTCTAAAATTTACCATCTGTTCCATTTCATACTTAATTTTTAAAAAAGCTTTCCTAAATGTTATTTATAGTGTATCTTTTGTATATAGTATCTCAGAAAGCTAGATAAGACTGTTGTATTGAGATCTTTATGTGGGCATGTGCTCCTTTGCTCATAAACCTTTATTTGAACCATAAATAGCAGGGAAAACATGAATCTTTCATGTTGGCAGCATTTAACTTGAATAGAGAAGTCTTGAGTACACAAGGAAATATTCTTCAGGTACTTGGGATTGTTCTTTGTAACATGATTTTTTACTACTTGGTTATTCTGGGATGCACAGATACCTTTCACCAGGAACTTTTCTGACGTTGATGCTAATGATAGAATTAATTAGCTCCTACTGCATGAAACATGAGGGCTATTCTGTACAGGTAGGCCAGGCCTTCACCAATATTGTGTTTGTCTTCATCCTTTTGAGAAACCACCTAATTTTGTTCCTGTTTTGTTTCCTGTATATAGAATCCTTAAATATAGGAAACCTTCCTTTTTGCGTTTCTATTTCCTTCTCTCTATGAAAATTTATTTTGTAGGGGGAAGATCTGATTCATACCTTAGGGTTATGACATTGTGTTCTTAAGGACACTGTTCTTTCCCCTGATATATTCACAGGTTATAATAGGTGTTTAGTTGTGGAATGAAAGACTTGTCCCTAAGTGATCTTTTGTGCTCCAATGATACACCCTCAATAAGTGTCTTTAATGCTTTCCTGTCCATCTAAATAAATAATGTAAATAATCATATAGTCTCTCTTAATATTTGATACTTGGTACATTAATGATTGTTCAGCATCAGTTGTTTTTGAAGACTGGGTTTTGGTTTCCTTCTGACACGTATCTGAACATTTTTACATACATTCCCATTTGAGTCTCATGATGCCCTGATAAGGAAGATTGCAAATTTGTTTTCATTATTGTTTTATTTTATTCCCATTTACCAGTTAAGAAAACTGAGACTGAAGCTAGTTTGGCTAACAGCATACAAATAACAAGTGGGGACACTGTAACTTGAACTCTCATCTTCTGATTCCAAGTCCAGCATTCTTTACATTATACTTGTAGATAACTACCTTTGGGTAGGTCCCAAAAACAAAGACATCAGAGATTTTTTTTTTATGTGATCATTTTAGATGGAAGTTAAACTCCATGAAAAACATAACATTTGTGATTATTAATTCTCACATAGAAGTTTAACTTTTTTGGCAGAGCTTTAAGAAGAGTGAAAAGCATAGAAAAGTATGTAAAATCAAGTATACAGGATGAATAAATTAGGACATGATGATTCATGTTACCTAAAAGAAAACAAAAAAACCTTTAATGAAATAATTTACTTCAGGTCCCCATTAAAATATTTCACACATTTACTCACATTCAGGAATGTAGAAACTGTATCCAAAGGGAAAGAGTTCTTACTAGACCACCCCAAACTTGTTTACACTATCCTATTCCCCCAGTATTCTATCCTGCTGATGTCTTCCTTATACTTCAAATCATTCTCAGTATAAAAATGTAATACCTTGGCCGTCTTCCACACACTCCCTTTTTCAATGTGAATTTGCCTTGTTTGTAAGCTTGAAATGAGGAGCAAGAAAAACCAGTTCTGTATTTCTCTCCAATAGATCCAGAAGTCCATCCCCAGAGTGAAGATTACTGGGGCCATGTAAATCCAATAGGACCCAGAGCCTGTTATGATGAAGGAAAGCGTGTGGCAGAGACCATGTGTTATGCCTACATGAAGCAGGTATGCCCTTGGTTTTCCACAGTACTTTTTAGTTTTATTCATTTAGTATTTATTTTATTTACCAAGTGTGTATCATTCACATCATGTTTAGTTAAAGAAACTGATCTTCTGGGGGTAGACATGTGGTATGAATTTAGTCTGTGGTAGAAAAGATGTTTTTTCATGTTGATATTTGAATGCTGTAGGCTCTTCTGATCAGTTTTGAAGCATTATTCTCCCCCCCCCCCATGACTTTTGTTCATCATATTTAATGGGCTGGGGTTGTGAAGGTGGTGGGTGTCTTTATTTATTTATCTGTTTATTTGTTTATTTAATATGCCTGCACCTTTCCCAGACTTTGGAAGAAATGAGCTATTCCTCTCTCCCTTTGAATGTGATCAAAAGGAAACTTGGATTTTTTTTTTCTCTAATGAACCTAGATGTTAAGGTGAGAACTTGGAGAGTATGTCAAATGAACTTGTTAAATTTTTTTGTGTGTTTTCACTTGCCCCTTCATAGTCAGCTGAGTCCAATCAGGGGTTACAGAGTGCTTGAGACTCACAGCAGCAACTGTGAATGAGATTTCCCTGGCTTCCTCACCTTCCAGCCTTATGCCCTTCTTCAGCCTCCTCCATGTCTTTGAAATCTGCTCTGATGCCAACAGTCTTACTCGAGTTTCAGAGCTCTGAATAGTTGTTTATGGCCTTGGGGCTGAAGTGTCTTTCCTCGATGTTGTTACTTAGAACTAGAACTCATTGGCGTGCTTGCCCATTTTACCATTGAGGCCATACAGCCTGGTAGGTAATGCCAAATGAATGTATGCAGAGAAATCTCAAATCCAAATTATGTAGCTTTATTTCCTTTTTTATACTTTTTTTCATCTTAGCAACCTCTTTACAATAAGTAAATCTTGCCTCAAAAGGTACTGCCAGACATATCAGATTAAAGATAGATGAAGCATTTTGATTGTTACACCCCTTGGAGACTGGTATTTAGAGAACGACACTAAACTTTTGGACCAGAATGAATTCACTCTTCATAGGAGGATAGATTTAAGGTTGAAAGAGACCTTAAAGAATTGACCTGTCATTTATATGCCCAGCACTTAACACAGTGCCTGGCACATAGGACGCACTTAATAAATGTTTGTTGATTGATTTTTTTTTTTGCCAGTTCAATTCAACAGATAGTTATTTAACACCTAACATATACAGGGTACTCTAGTGAGTACTAGAGATACAAACACAAAAAACTAAATAGATGCTGCCCTCAGGGTACTGCATGGGGTGGGGACCCTAAACAAATAAAAAAAAAACCACAGGTCCAACCCCTATACCCATAAATGTCATTTGCTGTCATTATTGATTATGTTGTTACCTTGCTCAATGATTCTTCAGATTCAAAGTATTTTACCTCGGTATCCCAGAATATTAAGTCTGGGAGGGACTGTAGGGATTCTTCCTGTCTTACAAACCCCATCCCCTTCAAAATTACTTTGCAGGTATTTTTTAGTTACTTATCCTAGTACATGTTGTATTTCCCTGCAGTAGAATGGCAGGTCCTTTAGAGCAGGAGTAATTTCATTTTTGTCTTCATATCTCTAGTGCTTTACAGATGTTGTTGATTTGTTTTTCAGTCATGTCTGATTCTTTATGACCTCATTTGGGGTTTTCTTGGCAAAGATATTGAAGTGGTTTGCCATGTCCTTCTCCAGCTCATTTTACAGATAAGGAAACTGAGACAAACAGAGTTAAGTAGCTTGCCCAGGGTCACACAGCTAATAAGTGTCTGAGATCTAATTTGAACTTAGGGGGATGAATCTTCTGACTCCAGGCCTGGCATTCTCTCTGCTGCACCACCTAACTTAGACATATTAGGCTTTTAATAAATGCTTATTGAGGGACAAGTAGGTGGCACAGTGGATAGAGCACCAGCCCTGGAGTCAGGAGGACCTGAGTTCAAATGTAGCCTCAGACATTTAACACTTACTAGCTGTGTGACCCTGGGCAAGTCACTTGACCCCAATTGTCTCACCAGAAAACAAAAACAAAACAAAACAAAAAAGAATAAATGCTTCTTGAATCAGATTGGCTATCTAGTCTGACCTCCCCCCCCATCACCCCACCCTCAATTATATAGATGAAGAAACAATCTTTCCCCAAGGTCTTATGGCTACTGTAATTATGGATAGATTAAGAAACAGGCTTAGTGAGAAAAAATTATTTTTCCCAAAGTGTCCTGGATAGTGTCATATCCATGATAATGGATAAAGTATCTATCATAACTACATGGATACTGTAGTTATGGCCAGAGCCGATGCTAGACTCTTGTCTCTCACTCATACTTTTTTCCCCCACATATTTGCCTAGAACATCTGAATTAGGTCATTGCAGAGTAATGAAGCATGTGTTGAGAGAGAGAGAGAGAGAGAGAGAGAGAGAGAGAGAGAGAGAGAGAGAGAGAGAGAGAGTGAGTGAAGGGGGTAGGGTAGGGAAGGAATTTAGAATGTACCTAACATCTAAAGAAATCAGAATCGTCTATGCGTGGCAGCCACAATAATTTGACTGTCTCCAGAGTAACTGGCCCATAGCCTGCATTTACATAATATTTGTTACCACTTCTTATTCTGAAGATTCATAACAAAGTTGCCCTGGAAATACCATCTGCTACTCTTAGCATTGAGGTTTTAATCAGCAAGGCAGTGGCTGGCTCCTCTACTAGGATATTTTTGTCCCTTGTGTTCCTAGTCTTAGGCTTAGAACACATAAAGTGTTCATCAGATGATAGGTGAAAGGTGAATGTGTTCAGTAAATCGTGATGGCTTCAGTTTAAAGAAAAAAGATCAAGAAGGAAGCATTAGTTCAGTGGTAAACCAATTGTCATTGGAGCTTTTTTGTTCTAAATGTCCAATTCTCCCATCTTTGGGTTATTCTGAAGCACAGGCATATCATTTGTACATGGGGACCCTCTTTGGCTGCTACCTCTGCCAGGACACAAGCCCTTGTTTTATTGTAGAACCCTCTAAATGATGTATGTGGCTTCCTTACTTTAAACACATGCGAGATGAAACAATTTGCAGTTCTTTCTGCCAAGAAAACCAGTCGTGTTATCCATTGGGCTTTCTTCTGAACAAGGCCTTTTCTGATCCCCTTCTTCCTTCCAGTTGCTAATTTAGAGCTGGCTGATATGCTTTGGTACTTTTGGTTAATAGGTTTTTTTCTCTGCCAAATTTTGTTTTCATTTTCTTAAATTTATTTGTTTCCATGTATAAAAATCCACCTTCTCTGTCTTCCTATGTCCTTCTGCCCCCCATTGAAAAAGAGGAAAAATAAAGCCTTTATTTTTATTTTTTGAATATGTCAAGCAAAGCACATTCATGCATTGAATATGTCAAAAACATTTACATGTCTGAATCTGCTTCTGTTATATTTCATGTTTATTTATTGCCCTCCCCTCCATTAGACTGTAAGCAGCTTGTGGGGCAGAAACATTTTCATTTCTTTGCCTTTATAACCCCAGTACCAGTACCTAGGACAGTGCTTGGCATATAGTAAGTAATTAAAAATGCTTATTAAATGAGTGAATTTAAGTTAGCTTAGGCTAGCTATGTTACAAGTTATTATGGCTTATCTCAACCCACCCAGATCCGTTGCATGTGCCTATATTCAATTGAGAGCAACAGGCATGGGAAGTCGGATACTGAAATCTGCCCTATCGTCTTAGCTAAACATCATCAAAGTGTAGTTACTTTTCTGAAAGACCTAATTTTTCAATCTCCTTCAGAAGCCAAAACTGTATCCCTTGTGGCTAATTGGCTTTTTGTTTTCCCTTGACTTTTTCTTAAGGGTTATATCCACTATAGGAAACTTAACCAATAAGTGACAATCTGAAGGAAGGACAGGAACAGGTTTAGAAGGTTCACTTGATAGAATAAGCTTCCCTGAAGTTATGTGTATCAGCCCCATGAGGAAGACTAATTGTCCATCTTATTTTCAAGTTGCTGTTTTTCTGGGCGACCTGGCAATTGCATACCCTTCTTTCAGGCATTCAGTATTTATTTATTTTTCCCTTGATTAAATTTTTTTTAAAAAGTGATGTCTAGAGTGAGATGCCAGTGACTCATCTTATCGCCACAATAGTAGCCACAGAACCCAAAAGTGAAAGCTAGTCATTAGTAACAGTGAGTCAGTCGTGAGCCTCCTGAATTACTGACTTTGGTAAAGAGTGTAAATTTACCAGCACTGTAGTCAGCAGGGGGTCTGCCACTGTAAAACATAGGCTTTAAGGTATGATTCTGGAGTAGTTACGTTTTGATTTTGTTTTCCATTTATTTTTGCCAGAAGGTTTAGAATTGAGAAAGAGCAAGGAAAAATTGAATAGAGTTGTCAGCTCAGCATTTACAGAATTAATTCCAAGAGTTCTAAGAAATGGGTTTTACTGCTTTAAATTGGCCTATAAATGTGATTTATTATTAGGAGACATTTATTACTAGGCAATATGCTTTGAAGAATTTCTCAGATAGTTATGATAACATTCATAAAGCTAGGTGATGTAGTGGACTGGAATGCTAGACTAAGAATCAGTTCTACTCCTGCTTTAGATGCTTACTGTTCTGCTTTAGATGCTTACTGTGTTGCTCTGGCCAGCTCACTTAACTTCTCTGTGCCTTAGTTTCCTCACAAAATGGACATGACTGAAAAACTACTCAACAACAAGAAGTATCCTTGAAGTGCTGATCTCCTTGCCTCCTGTCCCTTGAGAAAGAATGAGGACTGGAGAGTATCACAATAACATGAGCATAAGGCCAGATCACAGTCACCTGTTTCTTAAGTCTCAGAGTTCCCTGAAGGATTCAGCCTCCTCTACTTTAGGTCCCATCCTTCTCCAGAGAGAACAGAGGCCAAAAAGGGGAAATGTTCTTTTATTTGGGAATATTTTTTTTCTCTCAGTCAGTTAGATGGTGCAGTGGATAGCGCATTAGACTTAGAGTTAGGAAGACTTGAATTCAAATCCTCCTGCAGCCACTTGCTAGCTGTGTGACAAATCACTTAGCCTCTTTCTCTTAAGAAAATGGGGATCATAATAGCACCTACCTCTCAGGCTTGTTGTGAGGATCAAATGAAATAATATGTAAAACCCTTTGTAAGCTTAGTAGAATGTTGGTGGTGGTGGTGGTGGTAGTTGTAGTAATAGTAGTGGCGGCAGGGGCAGCAGTAATAGTAGTAATAGTAGTAAGGTTTGGTAACAGTAAGTTTGAGGCTACACTCTCAAGTCTTGTCATAGTGTGAAGATGACCCTGGGCCTTAGAAGGCTGTGGCAGTGGGATGCAAAGTCTGACAGGGCCTTTCAAGCTGAGAAGACTTAGAATATTGAACATACTTATATGGAGCACCAGCCTAACTTAATTCAGTCCATCCAACCAGGTTGGCTGTGCAATGATGAATTTTTCAGATAAGGCAACATTTACTAGTGAGCAAAAACAACACTAATTCTGGGGATAGTACCTGAGTTCAAATCTCAGTTGCTTCAAGGGACTGCTTGCCTCCCTACTCCAGCCTCTCAGAGAGAGGAATCTGACTGTGAAGACCCCTCCAGTCTCTCTCCCTTCCCTAAACCCCTGGACTGTGACCTTGGGCCTCAGTTTCCTCAACTATTAAAAAAAAAATGAAGATATTAGCCCACGTGGCCTCTGAGGTCCTTTTTAGCTGTAGATCCCGGAGCCTGTAACACTGCTAAGCTTGATTTGTTGCAGACTTCATGGGAGCTTGGTATGACTTTTATTCTGTCAGGCACACTGATTTGATTTGTGTTAACTTGCTGAGATTTTATGTTCTATTCCTAGAATAAAGCTGCACTCACTGCCCGTTTCTGTATACCCTTCCCCTGTTCTATTAATAAAACTGAAGTTGGTGACTTTTGAGTTATTTTCTATTGAGATCACCATCTCTAGCCCCTTTTTTATTTCTTCTCTGACTTGTTCAGTAGGGAAAGAGTTTATTTGTTTCTGGGCTACAAATAAAACCACAAGCCTTAGTCATCAACATTGGAGTACCCAGCAAGACAACAGTATATTCTGTGCGAGAGAGAGAGAGAGAGAGAGAGAGAGAGAGAGAGAGAGAGAGAGAGTGTGTGTAAATAAATAGAGAGATTTTTTTAAGTAGCTTGAAGGTCTTGGCTTTCAAGGAGTTTACAGTCTAATGGAAGAAACACAATAAACACAAGGACTTTAAAACTTCATAGACTAAAACTCTAAGAATTTGTGATACTGCCTGGGCTTTAGGCTGAAGTGTATGCAGTCTCTGAAAAAAGACAAGTGTGGATTTTTGTTTGTTAAATTGATAGAGAAGCTGCATATTATAGTGAATAAAGTGCTGGACTTAGAATCAAAAAGACCTGAGTTTGAATCCTGCTACAAGAACCTCATGGTTCCTTTTTTTTTTTTAAACCTGGAAAAAGGAAATAGTAACAGCTCCTACAGGACTTGGAGGAGTCTTAGAGATAATTTAGTTTAATCTCTTGTTTTACAGGTAGATACCATAGCTCTCACTTGCCAAGGCCACTCAAGTAGTGAGGGGCAGAATTTGGATTCCATTTTAGGCAAGTGCTATGATTCCACTTTGAGCCCTGTTTCCACTTTTTTCCTCCACTCTAGCCATTTTTATGGATGAAGAAACCAAGGCCTAGAAAGAAGTGACTTGTCCAAGATTAGGAAGCTTAGAAGCAGGGTGTAATGAAGCTTTGTCTAGACCCCTTTTCATTGTGCCTTCAAGAATGTTTTAGTTAGTGAAGGTACCATCTCTCATCCATATGTAGGCTAGACCTTTTCCCCCAAGTCTGCTTTGAATAAAACTGGGTGTCACCAACAGTCACCCTGTTGGCTCCATAGTCACAGCTTAAGCCTTGCTGGTTCTCCAGAAACAACAGAAATAGTATCAGCAGCTTCTTCACCATCCCACGCACAGCTAGCTGGCTCTGTTAGATTCCCTTGCTGCTGCTGCTGCTGTTGCTGGCTGCAGCTGGAGCTCTACAAGGTAAGGAAAACAGCCTTCCCAATTGCCTCAAAGGACTGCCCGCCACCTGACTGTCAAACCCAGCTAGTCTCTCCCCTGCATCCCTGAGCTGGGTAGGGATTCCCAGAAGAAGTACTGCCCCCTTCCCAAATTGTTTGCAGTTATGTTATTTGATTCTAAGGGTCCTCTCTTGCATAGATGCCCCTGGGATTACTGCTCAGGGTTACCAGAGGAAACTGAAGCTTTATGTCAGAATAGAAAAAGAGGTGAGGGGAAAAAGGCAAAGGAGGATGGAGCCCCTGGAGATTGGGATTTCTGAGCTTTATAGCTGAGTGAGGCGCTATCCTAGAAGTGGACTAAAAAGAGTCTGGAGAGGACAAGGAAGAAAGCCGATCTGAATTAGCAGCTTCCTCTTCAGACAGGAAAATCCTACTAAAATTCATGCATTCAGCAAACATGTATCAAGTTCATCACTTGTCCCAAGGAAGGGAGATAACCTAGAAGAGTTTTGCAGCCAAATTCATCTTTCTGGGGGCCTGGGGCAGGGATGCAGTCTGTCCTTTAACATATGCAAGAGTATTGCCTCTCCCACCTTGGAGCAAGCAGTAGCTGCAGCCGGGGAGGCTACAGAGACAGTGCTGGGCACTTTGTTCTTGGGTCCTGGTACTCTTCTAAACCAGGTAGTACTGGAGAACTTTATACTGGCAAAGAGTAGGGAAAAGAGGTTATGCATGAGGTGGTTAGGCTCGGGCTAGAGTTATGGCCATGGGAATTAAGAGAAAGACGTCGATCTGAATAATTGCTAAGGTAGTAGACACTGGAGCAGATTTATTGGCCATCACTCCCAACTCTTTTACTTCTTAGAAATGTGTCCCTGGGCATGTCACTTAACTTTTGGGCCTTCTCTTTTTTTAAAATTTATTTTTTTTTAATTTTATTTCTTAGACAAGGTTAAGTGACTTTCCCAGGGTCACACAGCTAGTACGGGTCAAGTGTTTGGTCTGAGGCTGGATTTAAACTCAGGTCCTCCTGACTTCAGGTCCGTGCTCTATCCACTGTGCCACGGAGCTGCCCCCCCTGGGCCTTATCTTACTCATTTGCAACGTGAGTGTCCCTGCCTTGCTATAAGAATTGTAAGATGATTTATAAGAGAGCACTTTGAAACTCTAAAGTACTGGGCAAATATAAAGTGGTATTAGTAATATAAACATGGTGCTATTAAACAGAAAGAAGTCCAAAATGACCCCAAGAATAATAGGTAAGCACAGGCCAAGAGGACACTAGTGCCTTTGATCTTCCAGAATCTGGGAAGGGCGATGTGTTTATAGAGGCTAATGAGTTGGAGAAAGTAGAAAGAGCATTGACCTGAAAGCCAGAAGACCTGGTTTCATGTGCTGAATTTACCACTTACAATTATGCAACTTTGGAGAAATCGCTTAACCTCTTGTAACCTCTGTAAATGTTAAAGTGATTAAAATGGCGATATTTTATATATGCGTGTGCATCTGTGTGTGTTCAGTTGTTTGTTTTTAGTTGTGTCCAAGTCTACATGACCCCATTTGGGGTTTTCTTGGCAGAGATACTGGAGTGGTTTGCTATACATACATGCATACATATATGTATACACACGTGTATACATGCCTTTGTGTGATGTTCATGCTACATTTAGATACACATATGTGAGTGTGGTAGGACAAGACCTGTAATTTCATTTGTATAGGGAACTACAATGAGTTAACTCCCTTTACCCATGCAGATCAATAAATGTTTAGCGACTTATAGTCTTAGAGAATTGCCTGAGGCAGTGAGAGGTTAAATCATTTTCCAAGGATCACTCAGTGAACATGTGTCAGAAGCTGGATTTGAACCTCAACTTTCCCTGAATTCATGTAAAAGATGGCCCTTGAGCTGAGAACTGAAGGAAAACAGAGAAACCAAGAGGGGGAAAGGTAGAAGTAGCTGGAGGGGAAAGAAAAGCCTTCTACCAAGGGTACAGTATGCTAAGTTGTAAGCCAGGAAACCAGACAAGGAAGTGAGAAGGCAGAGCATTCCAGCCTGGAGAGCAGCCAGTGAAAGGTCCAGAGAAGAGATGGGCCATAGATTATTGTGTTGGGTGAACTATAAGTAGGCCAGTGTGGCTAGATCTTAGGGTGCTTGTAGGGGAATAATGTGTAAGAAAACTGAAAAGACAGAAAGGGGCCAAGTTAGGAAGGGCCATAAATGCCAAACAATAGAGCTTATATCTGGAGGCAGCATTTTGGAGGCCATAAAGTGTTACATAAATGTGAATGGTGATTGTTAGTATTATTCATGTGTTCTATTTTAAGTAATGGTCCTAAGAGAAACTATCCTGTTGATGGCTAGAAATAGATAATCAGAGAGAGAGCATGGAAAGTTTAGGGCTAGAGATATAGATCCGAAAGATATCCCGGTGATTATTTAAGCCATATGAGTTGAATTCCCTGCAGTGGGTGTAGAAAAGAAATGAACAGAGAATCCAGGGCAGCCTCAGGGCATACCACAGTTAATGTGTGGGCAAGTAGGAGAGCTGATGGACCTGTAAAGAAGCTGTCTGTAACGTGCAATGCTTAAAAAACATGGAAAGGAAGGAGACAGACTGGTTCACTGTATCTAAAACAGTAGAAAGGTTAAGGTTAAGGAGAGTAAGAAAGCTGTCAGATTTGATTGTCTCCACACTTAAAATCCTTGACAGTGTTGAAGGATATATACGAAGAAGAGAAGATAGTGTGTTGAGTAAGGCTTTTTACTATAATAAAATTTAAAATAAATCTTATTGTTCCTAGAAAGAGATAATGCTCCCTCCCCCCACTCCTTTTTTTTTTTACCCTTACCAAGAATACAGATGAGAAAGTTAAATATAATGTTGCTTTTTCTCACTCTCTTCATTTCAGGAAGGGGTTGAAGTACGAGTTGCTAGAATATTCAATACTTTTGGGCCACGGATGCATATGAATGACGGCCGAGTTGTCAGTAACTTCATTTTGCAAGCTCTCCAAGGGGAGCCTCTCACAGTGAGTATTTGCAACATTATTCTTCACTTTGAACTTTTGTAAGTTAAAGCTTTTAAATCACTATGAGGCCTCTATTTGGAATTTAATCCACACTGGAGAGAGGGAAAAAAATTTTAAATTAAAGGTAGCTATCCCTGAAAAATTGTACACCCTGGTGCATAATTAAGCAAGTTCTCCTTATCCATTGCAGCTGATTGGAGAGGATTTAGTGTTTTCCACAGAAGCAAACCAACTAGTAATAAATACTGAAACCTATAGACTTTTTATTATGGACACATAGGAAGATAGTTAATTTAAGATAGTTGGACAAAGAAAGAAGGGACAAGGATGCATTGTCTTTTATCTGAGAGATTCAGGCATTTAATTAGTACTTATCCTAAGCACTGTACTTTGCTCTGGAGGTAGAAATAAAAAGGCTGAAGTAGCCACTTTTCTCAAGGAGTTTGCATTCTAATTGGGGGACAGGGTGGAATGACATGACAATATATACATAAATGGTATCTACAATTGAAATGCAGAGTACATGGAAAGTAACGTTAGAGGGAAAGGCACACATATAGGGTCTTGACCTTGAGTAAAGGATCATTAGCTTTGGCAAGATCAGAGAGATTCAAGTGTGCCAAGATGGAAAAAAGCTCTGCCACTTTTCCTAGTTCTTTGGTGCAAGATTACTGGGTGGTCTTACCCAAGAGAACAAGTACAATGTGGAAGAACCTTGGGTGGGGTGAGATTTTACCTGATTGGTTTCCAACACCTTTTGTCATGAGTAGGGTTTCAGATAATAGGGTAGTGGGGAGGTGGGATGTCAATCAGCATGGTTGCTGGAAGTTTGAAACAAGAAAGATTGGGATGAGGGGAATTATAGTGTGTGATGAGCTATTCCAATGGTATCACAGATACTTGGCAGGAAGAAAGGGTTCTATAGAGCAGAGTTAGCCATTCACCTAAAGTCTAAAAGTCAGAAAACCAAAAACTTTTTGCTCTACCACATTATCTCTTATGTATATATGTATTCATATATATTCACTCTCAAATCTCAATTATCCATATCAATGAGTGTTAGCACTAGTATGTATAATTCAAATTTGTGAATAAATGTATCACACAAATGTTTTTGCAGCAAGTTTATGTTCCTAATTGGATCTTTCTTAGATAAATTTAAAATTAGTCAGCTTTTTCTGAGCACATACATCAGCTGACAGTATAAAAAGGTGGAAAGACTAAGCCAGCCTTCATCCTAAAATTTCCATAGGCTATTTCACATGTTGCTAATCAAGCGTTGCCTTGGTTTTTATTAGATTGTGTGCCTCCAACTCAGCATGTTTTAGGTCATCATGAAGATTTGTTCATTCAGCTAATATTAGTTAGGACCCTACTATGTGCAGAGTACTGGGACAGGTGCTGGGAGAGATATAGAATTTTAAAGGTCACATTTCCTTCCTTGATGGAACTTGTAGTTTATTACAGGGATGTCATAAATACAGTTAACATGGAGAGAGAGTATGTGTTCTAATGGAAAGAGCAGATGACCTGGGTTCAAATTTTGACTCTACAACTGCTTACTCAGTACATTCATTAGGACACTAATGCTGGGGGCTAGGGATGTGAAGATAAAAGCTAAGTAGTCCCTGCATTCAAGGAGCATACATTCTACTGAATATAGGCAACATATCCACTGAAAAGTAAATAAATAGGAAGTAATTTTAGAAGGGAAAGAACAGACTTCTTGGGTTGGAGGGGTGGAGTGTTCAGAAAAGGCCTCCTTGAGAAAGTGGCACTTGAGCCCTGAAGCAAGGATTGTAAGAAGTAGATATTAGGAATGAACATATTCTAAAGCTGGGAGATAGCTGGTATAAAAGTATAGACTTGAGAGAGACTATGAAAGGCAGGAGGATGTAGGATAATAGTTTGAGGGGGTGGCAGGCTCAAGTAAAGACTTTTTAAGGAAAAGTGAGACCTCGGCTTGTTTGTACACATTAAGGAAGGGGAGCTAGTAGATAAAGAAGTGATTAAAGGTGGGAGAAAAGGGGAATGGTCAAGGAAACAAGCTTTTGGGAGATATGGAAAGAGGTGAAATTGAGAAGACATAGAGCTTGCACGAGGCAAGGAAAAGTGGAAGTACTTCCTCAAAGACTATAGAAAAGGAAGAAAGAATAGTGAGGTGGTAATGAAAGATTTTGAGGTGTGTAGGTGATGGCCACTGTTTTCACGATAAAGAAAGAGGGGAAATGAAATGGTATAGAGTCATTGAGAAGAGAAAGTTTATAATAACCACTGATAAGAAAGTGATAATCATAGAAAAATAAAAGTATTGCCTTGCAGCAGTGAGGACTCAATTGAGATGAGATAAATCTGTTGTGGTTCCAGTCGGTACTATTAGGTGGCTTTCTCTAGCAACTCTCCAAAACATATGTGTAAGTGCAGAGAAGGTAGATGGTGTCAGTAACCCAGATTTGGGGTTTGTTAAGGTTTGACTGACAGTAGGACCAGGGCACAAGGGATTCTGGAGTAGGAGATAATGAAATATAATTGAATTGGTCAGGAATATAAAGAGAAGAGGTAGATTGGGAGAAAAGTGGTACAGAAAAACCCAAAGTCCTTGTGAAGGTGAAAGAGGGATTGAGGAACAAGGCCAAGAGGGAGACAGATGTATTGCAAATTGAGATTCCAGAGAGGAATTTCACAAGTTCTGGGTCATGGAAGAACAATTATGAGGTATAATGAAATCAAGGTTATAACTCTTCTTACAGGTGGCTAAGGTGGAAGGGAGTTGAGAATCACCAGTGTATGGAGTTTGCCGTTTAACTTAGGATTAGGTTTTAAAATTATATTTGTGTTTGATAAATGCTGCTCACCTCCACACCCCCATTTCTCTGTGTTTCTTACAGTATGTTCTGCTATTTTCCCCACTCTTCTTCATCTGCTTCCTGCTCTCCTATGCTTCTCTCCGGAGACTTTCCTAGATAGCGTCATAGCTTATTTCTGGCACAGTGCTCTTTTAACCATTAGGGTTTCAGCTTTTCTAATTGTCTTGTTCTTCTAGTTTTTACTGATGACTGTTGTCAATAATAGCGACTTGGCAAAAATAGTGATTGTTTGTTTAAGCATTCTTAGGCTGCATTATCAGAGTTGTGTGTTGGTCATATGGTTGGGGTTAAATGTGTCATGCTCCTTTGCTTGAATTGCCTGCTAAGTGAGACACAATACATCCATTTCTTTCTTTACTTTATTAAGTGAATTTTTTTTCATGGTGGAGCTTGTTGGTAGTTGAATTGACACCTCTTCAGGGGAACTAAATCAGAGGTTCTTAACCTGGAGTCCCTGAATCTGTTTTATAAAATACTTTGATAACTGTGTATGATGAGTTTCCTTTGTAACCCTGTGTATTTAATGTTATGCATTTGAAAACATTATTCTGAGAACAAAAGGATCCAGAGGCTTTACCAGACTGCCAAGAGGACTTTATCATACGAAGAAAAAAAAAAGTGAAGAACCCTTGATATAAAGTATTGCAGAGCTCAGGAAACAACTAGATATCACAAATCATCCAAAGTATTGAACCGAGCACTGAGTTCTCTCAAGATTATGAGAATGATATATTTCTAAACAGAATGTATCCTAAGAAAGGCTTGAATATGCTCCCATGCTATTGTGAATGTAGTATTGGACTTACACTGACAAAGAGAAGCATTTAAGCAAATTGTTACATCCAAACTCTTGGAGAATAGGGAAAAAATACAGTCACTACCTATAAGGAAGGAGAATTTATATTCTATGGTGGGGTGGGGAAGGGGGGTGATATGTAAATATAAGTAAATACAAAGAAATTTCAGGAGGGAAAGAACATTAAAAATTGGCATCATGAAAGGTTTGTTATACAAAGATTCATCTGAATTGAAGGAGGCAGTGTGGAACAATTTGTTTTTTAAAGTCCTGGCTCTGGAGTTAGAGCCAAATGCTTTGTCTAATGCTTACCACCTGTGTGACCTTAGACAAATTACTGAATGGTTTCTAGGCTTGTTTCCTCATTTGTTAAAATGAGGGGATTGGACACAATAGGCCTGTGGTCCCTTCTAGCTCCAGACTAGACTAGTTGGATTACTGAAGTCCCTTCCAATTTCAAAATAAGCTAAGCTTTCTAAGAGGCAGAAATGATGAAGGATTACTTTCTGGGAATGAGGAAACAGTCTGTGCAAAGGGAGGGAGGTACTAGTTGAGATGTCAAGTTCAGGAAACAAACAAGTAATTCACTCTGGCCAGAATATAGAATATGAGAATCAGTGATGGGGAATAAGTCAGAAAGGTGGACTGGAACTGTACCAGGAAAGGGCAGTAAGTGCCATGCTGAGTAATGGGTAGTTTTTTTTAATATATGAAAACAATGGCAGGCCCATTCATTGAATACTTTATAGCTAAACTGGCCTAGTCGCAAGCCACATCTCAGAAGTGATTTCCACTTTAAACGCACTCTTACCCCAAAGTTTGTGAGCATGGTCTGTTAGGGAAGAATATTAAATAATAAGAATGTGTTTATATCTGTTGTTTTTGTTTCTTTCTCATGAATAGTATCACTCAGTCTGTGTCTTACTCCAGAAGCCGCATGCTTGTCTCTGTCACCTGAGACTAAATCACTGCATTGATAGCTGCTTTCCCCATTTCCCTTTGACTTCTTTTAGAGGTTCTGAGCCACCCCCTTCAGTTGGGGCTCTATTGGTCTTCGGTGCCACATAGATCACCAAGTAGACATTCCTTTTTACTTTTCTTTCCCTCATTCTTTTCACCTATTATATACAGAAGCCCTTCTTTTTATATTATGGGATCAGAGCTATTTGGTTTCAAGAACAAAACTGCCAGAGATCTTCCTAGAAGCACGGTCTTGATTCATTAGCCTCCTGGCAGCAGCCAGAACTCAACTGTTAGTCAGCCAGCAGAGCCTCCCGGTGTGTCATAAGACTAAGATCTATTGTTGGGAGGCAGCAATAATTCATGTGTTGTCTTTG